GGGGGCGAAGAGGGAGGAGTGCGGGGCCTGGCCAGGCTGTCCCCAGCACCAGGTCAGTGCGAGAGCCGCGCCGTGCCGGAGGGGCAGGTGGAGGTTGGTGCGCTCACCGCCCGTGGTGCACCGCGATGCCTGGAGGGACTCTGGCGCCCAGGTGTTTGCACCTGCTGCTGCTCTTGCTTGATAGGTTATCCCCAGGACGCTCTCGGTGCGGCCTGGATTCTGGAAGCCTGGCCAGGCTGTCCCCAGCACCAGGTCAGTGCGAGAGCCGCGCCGTGCCGGAGGGGCAGGTGGAGGTTGGTGCGCTCACCGCCCGTGGTGCACCGCGATGCCTGGAGGGACTCTGGCGCCCAGGTGTTTGCACCTGCTGCTGCTCTTGCTTGATAGGTTATCCCCAGGACGCTCTCGGTGCGGCCTGGATTCTGGAAATGGGGTTCACCAAGTGCTTCCTCAGTGCATAGAGGCGCTGCGGCCCGGACAGGGGTTGATCCCGAGAAAGTGCTTGGGCCCGCCCCGCACCCCGAAGGCAAAGGCTGACAGCGGTTGTCAGGATTGCCCGCCAGTGACAAGCAGGAAGGTGTGCGAGGAGCGCCCTGCTGCAGGAGAGCTGGCTCTCCGGGAGCAGCAGGAGTGCTGTGCTGTGCTGTGCCGCCCTCGTGGTGTGGACCCGCCTCTCTCAGTCAGCAGAGCTGCGCAGGCCAGGCCGAGGTTACACATTCCGCCAGCTGCTTCCTTTTCATTTCCTTCCATTTCTGCCAGCCAAGCAGCCCAGCAGTCATCAGTATGGTCTCACTGATGTGTAGCAGAAGGCAGTGGGGTCCTCGAAGGGCAATGGTCGCTTCTGGCCTTTTCCAGGCCCTGCTTCACCTGTGGAATGAGAGTGCCGCTCCATGGTCTTGACGCCTGCAGGGCTTGGGTTCAAATCCCACCTGTGACCCTTGAGCTCTTGGCTTGAGGTTCTGAGTTTCCTCTGTCAGTAGGGCTCTGATTACAAGAGCTGTATGGATCCTATGCGGGGTCTGGTACTTAGCAGGTGCACAATAAATTATTGTTATAAATGTGGATGAGGGTGTAGGGCCAAGTAGCCATTACTCTTAGGACCTATGGTGACTGCCTTCTCTGAAGATAGACCTCTGCGTTCTTGCTACACATCAGGACCTGAGTTTTCATCTCTGCAGGGTGAGATGTGTGGAACACTGGCCTCCTTCCCACTCCGCTTTCTCCTCCTCTCACCCTTCAGGTGGCCTTCTCTGGTCCTGGAGTGGGGGCAGAGCCCTTTACCACCTCCTAGTCCCTGGGATAGGATCAGTGGTGGCCCCAGCCCTCCAGAGAGATTTTCTCTTCATTTAGCAACTAAAAGATGAGAGACTTTAAAACAAGGAGCTCACTAGAAGAATGCCATATTCTCTAGGTCAAATTTCTGACATTACTGTTAGGGAAAAAATAAGTCATTATAGCTTATTCTTACAAGCTAATATTAAAAAGAAATTGATCATTTAAGAAAACTCGAGGAAACTTCATTTAATGGGTGAAGCACCTGGGTCTTGGTCTGAATCCAGCCCTTATTAGAAGTACATTACAGTAATCACTTGTGGCCGCCAGGTGTTTGGGTTCTGCTGAGTAATTTGGCTCGTAGTTCACGACCCAGTGGCAAACCTGACCCCTTTTTCTATATTAAAAATGCATAACTAAGTGTAGAAGTAACAATTTAATTTGGGGCTAATCCCAAATGAGATTGAGTGCTTGCTTCCTATGTGATGTATTGGGAAGTCTTCTGGGACAGTGTGAGATCGAGGTTTTTTCTTTATCATCAAGTGGCTGCTGTTGAGTAGGTCAGATTTGAGAGTATGTGTGTGAACAGGGACCCTGCCTGGCATCTCACAGGTGCAGGATCGCTCTCTGTGGCTGTCTGAAAGTTCAGTGTAAAGGAAGATGTTAGGAAGTAGGTGCCTTCGAAACCCCTCTTTCCGCTCTGCTCCTCTTCCACCTGTCTGCTTCTCCCCAGATCCCTTCTTCAGTTGTGTTGTGGTTTTTGCAAAGTCATTTCCTCTCTAAAACTTAGCTGTTTTAAGCTAAAAATCAACACTCATGTTGTTTTTGTGGTCACTTACAGATATCGAAAGGGCAGCAACAAAATTGGAGTTGCCTGGCATGCACTTTCCTGGTGGTTATGTCCCCAAAGGTCCATATGCTAAAGCCTCGGCCACCAGGCAGATGCTGGCACCTTTAGGTAGTGGGACCTTGAGAGAGGAAGTTGGGTTGTTGGAGGTGCACCCTTTCCCCTATTTGCTTCCCCGCCACCACAAGGTGGAAACAGCCATCGAACAACCATGGACTAAAATCTCTGAAACTGTGAGCCAAAATAAACCCCTCCTCCCTGTCAGTTGATTATCTCAGGTATTTTGTCAGAGTAACAGAAAGTTAACTAACCTAAGTTGTAACTGCTGGTGTTACTCTGTACGTGCATGTGTAGACACATGCACACAGTGTGCATATGCGTAAGCACATGAGTATGTAAATGTGGTATTGTGTGGTGTACATGTGCGTATGTCTATATGCTTGTGTTTATATGCATGCAGGAGTCCTTCTGTACCCATAGGCACTGATTCCAGGACCCTCACAGATGTCCAGATCTTTGGACACTCAAGTCCCTTACATACAGTGG